CTTCTCTCCTTTATAATATAATATAATATTATGTAGGAAATTTAATCGCCATTAAAAGACTAAATATTTGAAAAATCATGTCTGATAAAAAAAAACGACCTTATAATTTTTCGTTCGATTAGCTTTTTAAAAAAATTAACACGAAATTCAATAATCCATAAAAAACTCCATTTAAAAAAAACTTTGTCAATATGATAAAAAACATCGGCCCAATAATTTTTTTTCCCCGTTATTTTGCAAAATCTTCAATTGGAGTTATTGGATTGGACCAATCCGGCCCGTTCCGACTTATGTATGTATGTACATACATGTGTTCATAATATGTACAGTGGCTCGTAGCTTATTTCAACCAGCACCTCAAAAAAAAAACTTTAAAGCCATATATCTAGCAAACCATGAGAGCTAATATAAAAATTTAAATGGGGATTTGTAGTGTGAGCCTTCAACTTAAGATTTTTGTTTAAAATTTTTTTTAGCATTTTTTAAATATTCAATAAAATTTTTTAAACAAAAATACTGCTTAAAATACTGCAGCAGCTTATTTCAACCAGCTGAGAAAATATATTTTTTAACTGACTTAAATGAAAAACATGAAAAATGAATACATACTTGTTTTGGCCACCATTGTTGTCAATGAACATCTTAAACCGTTTTGACATCGATTCCACCAGCTTTTTTCTCCCTAATAGAACTATTTTTCCCCACTCTGTCACCATAGCGTTTTTTAGAGCAGATTTGTTAAAAAACTGGCGTTTTCTGATATTTTGGTACTTAATTGCCCAGAAATTTTTCATTACGTTTGTGTCTGGTGCCTAAGCGGGGGTTCCATCACATGTAGGCAATTCCAAATCAGCCAAGACTGTACAATATCCGATTTGATAATTATAATCGACTTTTAACTAATCAACTCAAATTAACTTTTGAGAAAATGATAACTTGATAAGGTATAAATGTATTACTAATTTTTTTGTTCATTTAATCAGTCCTTTTAAATTATCGTTTGTTACCTTTAAACAAAACTTAAGGTAGAAAATTCAGTCATTGCTTAGCGGGTTTTTACTCCACTTGGTTTGGCCTTGACAGTATCGTTTTTTTCAGTGGGTCGCCCGTTGAAGAAAGCCACTAGGAAGAAGAAGAAGCCGAGACAGGCAAACACAAAAAATCGAATTTCCCTGACCCTGAAAACTGGCACCAGATTACATATACACACACACACACGATACAGACAAGGAGAGAAAAAGCGCTAGATACAGTGCATAACGGTATCTTACCGCCCAGCCGCCCCAAACATACGTAACTACGGTGCGCTCTTCGAAGAGTGAATCCTAGTCTGAATTAATGAATTTAATTTAGATATGGTTTTCTCTTTTAATAGGAAAGTAGAGATTCTTACAAACCTTTTTTAATTTTATACTTATAAAATATATGTGTGTATGTACAGCTGAAGTACGATTAGGAAATTTAAAATATTAAAATTTTTATCGTATTTTGGTTGCAATTACAATCTAACAGGAAATGTTTTATGTTTTTGGAATAATTTTTTTAACTTTGTTTTCTTAAACAAAGCAATCTTAGTGAAGTCAGAGCGGAATAAATAAGTACATACTGAGGGTGCACTGTAGATTGGAGATTGTGTGTGTGAGATAGCCAGATTGTCGGCTCGCTTGTGTCGCTCTCCCAACCAAACCAACTAAAAAGAGAGAGGAGAGTGAACTGAAGTGAACCTCCAAACCTGAACCGTTTGGGTCGGGTGGTGAATTGGTGCAGGAGGTGGCGGTGGGTAGGTTGTTGTTTTGCCGCTCATCTCGCTTCGCGTGTGTGTGTGTGACCTTGAAAAACAATAACATTGTTGTTGCCCCTAGCTTGGGCAAAAATGCAAATTGCAAACAAACCGAATCAGCAGCCGTTCGAGCAAAACTGTTAAATGTGGTTATGCAATAAAAAACACGGCAATTGTTTCGGGGGGGTGGATGTATATAATGTATAAGAAATATAAACACTCACAACTTTTACATACATACATATTTATATGGTAGCTTTGCTGATTAACTTGTTGCAAAAAAAGATGGACAAGTAGATAAAGAGTAGAAATGTTCTATTACTTTTAGGTGTTAATTATTTTCTTTAAGTAATTCGTCACATTTTTGTCCAGTACTTGTCCTTGTTATACCCTTGCAGAGAGTACTATAGCTTCAGTCAGAAGTTTGCATCGCAGTGAAGGAGACGTCTCAGGCCTATTAAAGTATATGTATTCTTGATCAACATCACTATCTGAGTCGATCTGGACATACATATGTATGTAAATGTATGTATGTACGTCTATCCATTTGTCATTCTGCCGGTTTTTTTTTGATTTAACACAAAATTAAAGTTTTAAAGTTATCTTCCTGAAACTTGACCGAAAGTTGTGTAGTCATAGAATGTAATAAGTTTATATATGTATACATAAGTATGTCAGAATTGCCAAGATCGGACAACTACATATATCATTTAGCTGCCAAAAGAGAGATTGAAAATCTTTATAAAATTATTAGTACAACAATTTTTGAATATTAAGTTTTTAAACGACGATTGAATAAAAAAAGTTTCGGCTCCCCGAACTGAACTTCTTTTACGCTTACTTTTACTTTACTTTTTTTTTACTTAACATTTTTACCAACTTTAAAAATGTAGCTTTAATTTTTCTTTTTCTTATGAATTATTCCCATTAATAAATTGGTTTAATCATCCTTGCTGAAAAAAAAAAACATTTTTGTATAAAAAGAAGTTGGTTCGCATTTGTCAACCTGTTTAATTAAAAAAATTTCGACGAAACTTCTGTTTTTATATTTTCAATCTCCCTTATAAGAAATTTCTGTGCAATTCTCCGTTAGCAACAACAACAAATGCAAAACAGCTGAGCGCGCGCACCAAGTGCAACAGAGATAGCTGCCGCAAACTGTTACTTTGTTATTGTTTTTGGAGAGAGACCTACCAGTTCTCTGTGAATGTGAATATGGATGCGCTGAGAATTTGGGGAGCTCAAGAGAACTCACTCATACAGAGGGGCGTTTGCAGAAAGAAAAAGTAAAATAAAATACATTTATCTGTAATGTTGTTGTTGCTGCGCGCAATTTAACGTCAGCACCGACGCTGCGTATTGTGGGGCAAGTATTTTGCTATTGCACTTTATTTATAACAAAGTGCTTATTTCACTTTCTAATAAACTTATATAAATATTGAATTTTCTAAAATTTTCAATTTTAATTGAATGCCTGAATTTATAAAAAGTGTATAAATAAGCTGTTAGTCTTTGAAGTACTCAATACAGATGTGCTTAAGCTTCTCTATCGTTTCACAAAGTTATTCAATTTTTGAATTCAATTAAAATTTTTTTTTAATAGCACTTCATATTTTTACCACGACCATATTAGTTTTATTTGGCCCAGAGTGCGAAGCGACGTCTCGACATCGTCGCCTTCGCTGCCGACGTCGCTGCCTCTGGCCGCCGCACAAAAACACAAAAACAGAAAACACAGTCAGTTTTCATTCTCATTTGACATCATCAACATTGAAATTTAATTAAACGAGAGCAAAGTCTTCGATTCGGGGCAACAATTTCACTCAAGTAAAACGCGATTAAAACAAACTTTTATTTATGCTCAGTTTGTATAAAACCGTTTTCATTTAAAATTTTTGTTTTGTGCGAAAAAATCTAGAAAAAATATAGGCGACGCGCAAGAAATAACAAACGTCATCAGCTGTTCTTTGTTTGTGTGTGTGAGTTTGATGTGCGGAAGAAATTTGTGTGCTTGTGTGTTTTTATTTTTTGTATATAAATATTAAATTTAAGTGATTGCTTTTCAAAGTTAGTTGAACACCTAACCTAAAAAAATTAGAACTAACTGTTTGAAGGTTATGAACACAACCGCCCCTCCCCCTTTTCTCACCACCCTCTTTTAAAAACTTGGCCTTGACCGTGTGCATCTGTATGTGTGAGAGCGAAAGAGATAGAAGTAGTCAGCCAACGGTAACCAACAGCTGACAGCTGCACTTTACTTTTCGGCTCAGGTGGCAACGCTACACAGCGATCCTCTTCCCCTCTTTCAATTCCCTTAAAAATAAAGCAAAATAACAACAAAGGCAGTGCGTTGCTCGCACAAACAAATAAGTAGAATAACAAAGCAACAAGAACAACAACGACAATGGGCTTAATCAAGTTCAAAGCGAACTGTGCGAAAAAGAGCGAAGGCAACGCACTCGTACTCTCTTTTCTGGTGCTTTCGCACACACAAACAACTTTACGCTCAGCTGTACACGTAGCCTGTTTTCGTTATTTTGTTTTTCTCTTCCCATTTCTTTAATTGTGTTTTGTTTGTCACAGAATTGTGCAATAGCATAGAAGTATGAAAAAACAACTGAATTAAATATTGGTAACAAAACTATTATAAAACTTATAGGGCCCTAATGCTAAGTTTTGGTTTTTTAAAGTGAACTGTACTGAACTAATAATTGTTTTTTTTTTTTAATAATTGAAACACCATCGCAAATGCGTATATTATTTTATCTTCATATGTATGTACATACATGTATGAAGTTAAAATTTTTTTAAATAATTGAATGTAACTTAAACTAATGGTTACAGAGATACATGAATGTTTATACTAAAAAAATGCAATAGATCAATCCAATCTAAATTTTGGACGAGTATATATGTACATATGTATGTACATACATAGTTCTTACTGTTACCCTTAGCAAATAGTGTTGTAAAATACTGGAAACCAAAATCAGTTTTTTTTTAGTGCATTTACTTATTGTTTTTATTAACTCTATAACTGGTATTCATATGAATTGTCTACCCTTTTTTAGTTTTTGCTGAGAAAGATTATTTTGATTTAATTTCATAACAATAAAGAACCTTGTTTGTGTGCGTTTCTTTTTTTTTTTGTTTTTGAAATTTTCGCATTAAAATAAAAAAAGGAGGGAGGGGAAGTCATCACACACACAAGCACAGCTGATCTCTTCCCATCCTTCTTTCTTTATCTCTCTCTCTCTCTCTCTGGAAATTTGTAAACAACTCAATATCGCACGAAGCCAGAGCTGCCAATTAGTTTTTTTCTCCAGCCAGATTGGCATCGCCGTTTTCTTGCATTTGTGAAATTTACCAACTAAAAGTATCCACAACTTTTCCCTCAATTTCAGCGTAATATGTTCGAGGACTAGACATATAAGTGGAAAACGAAAGCTAAGAACATGATAAACGGCTTGAGCATTGGCGGTGGTCAGCAGGTGGCGCAGGTGACGCCAGCAGGTGCTGCAATAAAATTGCACTTTGCCTACAACAACAACACAAGCAACAAAAATAACAACAACTACAGTGGCCTTAAAACAGTAGAGCAAAAAATGAACAACAACAGCATGACGAGCGGGGTGATGAAAGTGATTGAGAAAATCCGGGAAACAAGTGGAGCATGTGCAGCAACAGGTGGCGTTCAGAAATCGAGCAGCATTATGGGACTTTCTCCTGCAGAAGAATCCTTTGCAGGTCTGGAAACCCCAAGGGCAACTAGTTTAATCCACGAATCCGGCGGGTCTACGGAATTTCCAGTGTCCACGGAAATTTCACCAGGATCCGTAAAAGCAAGCGATGCAAAGGCATCTATGGTTGGCCAAGGATCAGGCGGTTTCATTGACCCTGCAACCCTCCGAGGACTTGCTCCTGTCATAGGAGTAGGAACACTAAGAGCAGCTAGACAAGGATCTGGCCGTTTTCTGGAATACCAAGCAGTGGCTACCGGATCAGCAACTAGTATTTCTCAAATTTGTAAAAATTCAACTCCTGCGTCTCCCTCGCGGGGAGTTTCACTTGGTTGTGGGGCTCTAAGACCATTCTACAAAGATGTAGAGCGTATTCGCACCCCGATTGGAGCAATAGTTTCAATTCCAAACGGAATGGCTGCGGTCAATAGGGTTTCCCAAACAGGAGTAAGCAGTCTTCGCTGGCTGCCCATGCCCGCCACCAAAGAGAAAACATCAAATGGAGAAGAAGCCTATACAAAAGCTGCGTCTAGCAGAGCGGAAGCACATGGATCACTCGAAGAGACAGCCAAACGTGCCTTAGCTAGCCCTCAGCCGCAACGTACCGAGGACCAAGAAAATGCCTTTCGACGCATCGAGGATGTGCACAACTATGCCAAGCTGCAGGACTATAGCAGCGACACCGAGGACGAAGACGAGGATGAGGAAGAAGAGCTCGACGAGGAGGACGAAGACGACGAGGAAGAGGCGCGCATCCAGGTGCAGTTGCCGTTGCAGCAGGAGGTCACGCGCATTCGTCGCGAGGCCGCCGAAGAGCACGCAGACGTGGATGTGGTCACAGTGCCGCTTCAGAAGCACGAACAGGATCGCCATTTGGTAGAGCAGCAGCCGCGGCCGCTGCAGCAGGATCAGCCTGTAGATACCATTCGACCAGAGCACCATGCTCGCCGGCCCATGAATGCGTTTCTCATCTTCTGCAAGCGACACCGCGGCATCGTCAAGGAGCGCTACAAGACTCTTGAGAACCGGTGGGTTGTGGGCTCCTGCAAGAGATTTAGCTCCCGGGAAACTTACTAATCTTTTTGTTTTGCATTTTCCATTTCAGTGCTATCACCAAGATACTTGGTGACTGGTGGGCCGCACTCGACGAGCAGGAGAAGCATTGCTTTACGGATCTGGCACAGCAGGTGGGGATCTAAAAGTTGACAACGTGGTTCAACGACCCCTAATTTGCTTTACACACATGTTGGCTTTTGCAGAACAAGGACGCTTTCTTCAATGCGAACCCCAACTTCAAGTGGTACAAACTGCCGGCTCCGCCGCTGCGCACGCTGGCCACCCGTCCCAGCAACGCGGCTGGTGGACTTTTTGTCCCCAGCGAGGATCAGTCGCTGCAACAGCAGCAGGTGCCGACTCCAGTACAACTGCAGTGGGCGGATCGGGGCGACATGCCGCGAGCTCTGCTGCGCCGCAACTACTTCAAGCTGGCGGATGAAACGCAGATGGGCGAGTTAAGCTCGCTATTGCAAGTCCAAGTGCAGGAGAAAGACTACGCCCTGCAGCAGGTGCTCAGCGAGACCAGCCAGTTTTTATCCGCCCACATGCCAGGTGCCAATTCGAATTCGAATGGGAATGGCCACAAGCGCTCTTTGCTGGACAGCAACTCGAGCCACTCCAGCGAAGAGGAGGCGGTCACCAATGGGTCACCCTGCAAGAAGGCCAAATCCGTGCGCTCCTGCAAGGGCAAGATTTATCAGGAGCTGGTCAACTCCGGTCAACTTGCGGCCATATCCAAAAAAAGCAAGGCTCGCTCGCCGCCGGCAGCAAACCTGGGTGGAAATTTTGTGGACATCCCCGTGGATGCGGTGCCGAATACCCCACCCGTTTCGCCCCCGGAACACCAAGACAGCAGTCCGGATTCCATGCAAAAGCATCCGAGGAGCGCGTCTGAGTCCAGCAGCAGTGGCTTCTTCGACCTAGAGGAGAAGATTAAGGAGCTGCCAGCCCTCAGCTTGGATGCTTACTTGCAGCGCAAGCGCAGCACAAAAAAGAAGAGGAAATTCAGCGGCAGCAAGAAGCAGAGAAATTCGAACAGCTTCAGTGGCGGATCGATGGCCTCTAATACAGGAGCAGCGGCTACCGCGTCCAAAGGAGCAGTCATTGCAGCCAGCGAGAACCTGGTGAAGATTAAGCAGCAGCAGCAGCAACTGCAGGCCGTGGGCAGCCAGCGGCGCAAGGCGCGCAAGGAGAGCATCACGCGGCGTGATGTCAGTGCCATCGAGCAGGAGGTGGCCTCCATCCTGCCGCTGACCATCAACGGAAGTTACTACTTCAATCAGAGTGGTGCTCCCAAGGCCGTGAGTGCCTCGGCCACCTCGTCGTCGACCTCGCCACCACTGTCCTCGAACTCCTCGTCGTCGTCCTCGTCGCTTTCCTCGCAAGCGGCCTTCGACGTGACCTCCTCTACCTCAGATCTACTCATTCTGGCCGAAGTGGCCGCCAACCGCACTGAGCTGACCAAGTCCAACTAGCGCCAGCAGCACCACTAACACCACCAGCACCATTGGCTGTTCAGCATTACCACCAAATAGTTAGCCCAAAACCGAAAACCAAACCGCAAGCTGTACGACAGTCTTCGCAACGTTAAATTTTGTTCTGACGAAATATTCAAAATATTGTCTTACCAAGAAGCATGGTCTTTAAAGGAGGAAAAAGATGCATAGAGTAAAAGTTATCATGTAAACATTTTTAACAGGGAAGAATGGAAATGCAATTTATAATTCAATTTTTTTAATTGATATTTCTGAAGCAGAAATATTCTAAATATTTCATTTCTAACCCTTCAAAACTCTTAACATTTTTTTCAAGAAAAGGCAAAATTACCCATTCGATACTTACAATGCATTGAGCTATTGGCTGGTGGTGCTAAATGGAGATGGAGAAACAGACATTCGTTGATCTACAATTTAGTTAATAATATTATTTAAAAACAGAAAAGCGATCCAGAAGAAGGGATTTATGTATTGTTTGTTATGATGGCGGCATACGACTAACCGCATCAGTTTCACGCGCATGTATCTTTATATTTTGTATTTAGATAACTTGTTCTGTTTTTTTCTTGTTAAGTTTCACCTTTTATTGGGCCGCGTTCGTATAAGCAGCAACAGCCGAACGCTCATTAAATGTTAATATTATTTCTAATATGTAGTCATAATTTATTGCTATATTTGTCAAAACGCAAACAATTTGCAAACAAAAATATATTCATTTTAAAGTGGATACATTGATGTTTTTCTAAAAATAATGGTTAAAGTTTACAGAGTAAAGTAGAAAGGATATTTACAAATCCAGGTGCAGCTATATAGAACGTGAATTGTGCTCAGAAGCATTTAATATCAAAAATAGCAATGCTAATTTTTTTAAATAAAAATATATTTGTGTAATAAAAATATATTTAACGATGAACGAGGAAATACGGAAAAATTGTTCCCGAAAGGACTGTTTAATTAGTAATTCAGCCTCGTCAAGAACGTTAGTACCAGCATGTAATTTGATTTCAGCTCTTACTCAAATCGAAAGCTCTTTTGTGTGTTGAACAGAAATTCAAATTTACGAGCGGCTAGTTATCGACAAAAGACAACTCTGTTTGCTGGGCAGCGTTGCCAGATGCTAACAAAGCTTGACGGTAGCCGGTTAAAAGAAGAAAATAGTGTGCGGCAAAAGAGAGGCTAAGAGGCCACTGATAAGATAGCAATTCCTTGGCCAACCGCCAGGGTTGTAGATAAGCGGCTTGTTTTTAATTGGACGGAAAAGGGGGACAAAATGGCGATACATTTTCGATTCGATTTTTTTTTCCGCTCACGTGCAAAGGGAACAGATGCTGTGGGTGGTGCGCCAAAACCTTCTTGCTCCTCTGCCCACTTCGCACTCCCCCATTGGTTTTGACCATTTCCCGCAAGCTTTTTTCGAAGAGCTTTCGCTGTGTTGGCCTTATTTTCGCCTTATATCTTTCAGTTTGTTCGCGAATTCAGACCCTTGCAGTTGTTCTCTCTCCCTCTCGCGCGTGCTCTCGCTCTCTCCCGCGCAGCAGCAAGTAAAAACTAAAAAACCCTCGAAAAGAACAACATAGAATCGAAAAAACATAAAACTTAATTTAATTGTATTTGTGTGTCTCTGAGGTGAGAAAATGTACCAAAAGAAACAAAAGTTAAAAAGGCTTCTGTGAAAATTTTGTCAAGCACACAAGATTTTCTGGAAATTGTTTGGCAATTTACAAAATTTTTAACAAACAGACTCATACATTTCGGCTTGAACTGTAAATTGTTTACCTTTTTTTTTTGTAGTATTTTTTTGTTTTGTAGTTGTCTTAGCTTTTTTGTTGGTACCACCGACACAAGCAAAAAAAATCGAGGAAAACTGCAGAGCTGGGAAAAATAAGAGAATAAGGTAGGGAAAGCGAAGATACATTTTGACGTGTACATGTATGTGTGTTGTGTCATATCATAAAAGGATCTCTACAGAGAGAGGTGGTGAGATACAAACCGTGTTATATAATAGGCGAATTCGCCGCATAGCAACAAATAAGTAGAGAAACAAAAAGCAAAAAACATTTCTGATGAATTCGCAATTTAAGTTTGCTAGCTCGCCACCTTTCTCTAACCCAGGCAGCCAAAGCGAGACAGGGATTGAGATTGCCCATAATGAAATGTAATGAAATCTGTGCAATGAAACCCGCCAAGTTTATTCGATTTGATTGCAGCTTCTCGTCTGGCGATTTTTAGCGGCTTGCTAATTAATAAAAAAAGAGAAAGGGGGAAAAATAAGAGGAAAATAGAGAAGGAAAGTAGGGGAGAATGAAAAAGAGCCACAATTAACACCAATTAGTGTGTTTGCGGCGCATTTCAATTAAATCAAAACAAATGTCTAATCAAAATCAAAGGGGCTCGCATGCCTGTGACGTCACACAGTAGCAGTTACAATTACAGTTACATTCACAGTTATATAAACCCGAGCCGCGAACAGGATTTTCTCGCCTTCGTGTCATCCTTCGATTCGCTTCGTTGAATTCGCCGAATTTCGGCTCTGGGTTCGCCTCTTCTTTTGGCGTCTTCGTCGCATTTGAATTCGTGCTTTTGCGGCGTGTACAACGCTCAAAGCATAGTCGAGTAAATAATTAAAACGGAGTAAAGAAGAAATCAGAAAGAGGCACAAGATAGATCCAAGTCAAATTTTTTTAATTGAACATTTCGGAGGTGTACTCGCGTACGTGTGTTTGTGTTGTGTGGTGTTTTTCGGCTTCTCACGTTCTTCCCCTCTCTCTGGCTCTCCCCACACGTTTTTCGCAGTTGTATAACATTCTGAACAAGCGAGAGAGGAAGAGAGCGACCCAGAGCGAAAAGCTTTAAGTAAATCAAGCAAAATCAGCTGTGATCAGGGGCGTAGATAAGAGGGTTAAGGGTTAAATAAACCTCTTGTGGCGGGGTTGGTTGAAAAGAGCCCCCAATCTCTTTTCAACCAACCCCGCCATGGTCGGCTTCTATAATTTGTGCTAAAAACAAATGGCATATATATTAAACACATATACATTCATATATAAAAGTAAAATTAAAAAAAATGTAACATTAAACAAATGCATTTTAAAATTACTAGCGAGAGTCGATCCCCCCAAATAAAATCGTGCCTACGCCACTGTCATGCCTTAAATTCGTAGTGAATTTACACAGATTTCGGTGAACTGATTTTGCCTTGTTCTTTTGCAGCATAAACATAAATCCGGAGTCTATATCATTATCATTCTCGAAACCCGGAGAGCCAATAGCCCAAATAAACCGCAGAATCCCTTGTAATGGCTCTACTCCGTTCGCTGAGCGCTCAACGAACAGCCATCAGCTTGGTCTACGGCCGAAACAGCAGCAAGTCAAGCAGTTCCGTGGCCGCCGCAGCCGCCTGTCGGAGCTTCGACCAGCGGGTCAGAAGGAGCAGCAGCGCCACTGGAAAGGGGGTTTCGTCGGAGGGATCCACAGGTGGGCTTAATGGGCCACGCTTCCTGCACTCCGGGGACCGGCCGCTGCAGGCCTCCACTCTTGTCCAGCCGGACCTGGTGGCCGGTGCGACGAGGAAGGCGTCACTGAAACAGGAGTCCTCCCAAAAGAATAACCCCTCGCCCGCAGGCTCGCCGCAGAGGGATCCCCTGGACGTGACCTTCAACGACCCAATCGCCGCCTTCAAGAGCAAGACCACAGGCGAACTTATGCGCGCCTATTTGGTCTACATGATCTGTTCCAGCGAGAAGCTGGTCGAGCACAACATGACGGTGAGTTAGCCAGCGTTCTCCGCTCCTCCCCTTCTGCCGGGTCCTGCGTTCTTGACCCACCAATTGGTTCAATTAATCACCTAGCTCAGCTTTCTCGCTCCTCTTCAGGTTCCGTTTCCTTACAGTTTTGGGGCCAATTCAAAGTTTCTATATCAAACAAATTAACGTTACGGAATCGAATGAAACGCTTGTTCTGTCGAAACTTATTAGTTTTGAATAATACATATAGTACATATTAGGAAATCACTTATTAATTATTGGGGAAACAAATTTTCTGGAGAAGAAAACATTGTTTTCTACTTTTCTTCCTAACGATACTTTTATCTATTTTATAAAGTTAGCTGAAATGTATCCTCCAAGATTTTCTGAGAGGCTTTCGTCTTTTCCCTTTTTCCTTCTTTTAAAGCGATGACTTTAAAGTCGAAACAGGTGGATGCTTTCCTTTTGTTTACTCATTTATATTGTAGCCAAGTGTCTCTTTTCTGATCTGGTTCTTTCCCGTAGAAACTTTCCCTTTTCGGCTTGGGACTTCCACCTGCTGCTCGCGTTCACCTAATTCCGCTGAACGTTTCCGTTCGATTTTGCGTTGTCCTTTCTAAGGCGCTCCCTTTCCCTTCACTGCTATGAATTGTTGGCTAATTGTTGCCACTTTCTGGCAGGTGCTGCAGTCGCACAGAAAAAACTGAATGAGTGCCTGATTGACGGGCGGAAAAGGCACAAACTTTGCCAAGCAAATTGGGGGGTGAGGGGGGTGAGTGGGCGAGAGTTACCTTGCCCCGTTCCCTGTTTGCTCTCGGCTCGTGCGTATTTGCTCAGCGGCACATATGGATTATAAGGAGCGTATAGTATAGGCCATTATATAGTCAGGCCCCCGAATGACCGCCAATCAAAAGCGTCATAAGACCTCTTTCGAATACCTCCCATTCTCACTTGCGTGTTTCTGTAAAATTACGCTGGGTTCTTATCGCATGGGAATCGTTTGATTGCTTATCGATTACTCAAAGTGCATGGTATTTATTTACCTTTTTTCCGCTCTATGCAATTTGCATAAATGGCTGTCGTATTCGCACTGCTCCCTGAGACCGGGGACATCACACGTATGAGGCATTAGTGAGGCATCGACTTTGCCCCAACTCTCGGTTTCAAAGGGATACACTAAAAAAAATCAAGGAACATTTTTGATACCTTTGTGCTTTGGAATTCAGAACAAAATTGAATTTACAAAATAATTAGTTTCAAATTTCTGTAACCAAAAACGTACATATTCAAAATGTTATACATGTTATATGTTATGTTATACATGTTATATGTTATGTTATACATGTTATATGTTAAGTGTTATACAAAATCTGTGAGTAGATTTAATTATTGAGGAAATCAAATTGGAATCAAAACATTTTTTGCCAAATACCAATTTAAATAATAAAATATAAGTTTTTAAATAGTTTACTGATTTTTGAAGCACATTTGGAGCCCCTTTATATCAGAGTGTATTTCCGTTTTTTTTTACTTTGCTGTTTCTATTTACAGTATCGCGTCGATTGCTTTTAGCGACGGAGCTGTGTGGGTCTCGTGATGTGCGAGAATGGGTATCGAGTGGTAAAAAGCGGGCGAAAGTGGGAGGGGCAGTGGCAGGTGACAGGTGACCGGGGGTGGTGTTAGCTGTCGGTTGGGTTTTTTTTCTGGCGGGGCTAGAGCTCAATGGCAAACACCTGTCCTCGGTATTCAATTGTTTGCCAAAAAATGAGGCACCGAAAAACGAACCAACAAGAATGTCGAACACCCCAAAAAATAGAATACGAAACGAGCGTTTATTTTATGTAACCAGTTTCGGCTGATGATGTATTTATATTCTCGGCTGCTTTGTACTCAATTAATTACTTCAGTGCTGTCGACGAAACCGGTTCTTCCCAGACGGAGAATGCCTCCTGTCTGCTCTCTTCTCCTCTGGATCCCATTCATCTCAGGGATCCCGCATCATGTGGAGCGCACACGTGCCCAGGAGTCATTTGCCAAAGGCCAATGCTCCTGTTTTCTCCGTTTTTCCGCTTTGTGGCATTGACTATATGACACAATGGGAACTCCGTGAGCCCCAAGTTTGATGATCCTTTTCTGCCTTTGAACAGGTTGCCAAGTGAGATTCTTGTGACAGTTCATCCCCAGGTGTATAACTTCCAGTTTGAGTTACTGTTTCCTCCCTTCCTTTAGATTTTTATTTGTAAAACCTTTCAGGTAGCCTGACATAAAAACATGCACCTGACCGTCTCCCTAAATATAACATATTTAAATATTAATTTACATATATTGAAGCTTTCAAAATGTTAAATATCTTTAGGTCTTATATTTCTTGCCTAAAATATTTGCATATTTTATTTTTTTGGTTTATGGCTTTGCAGTGGTTCGCCTTTCGTTAAATGTATTCCCGTCTCGTTTGAGGAATTGAATTTAAAAAACACCCACCCTCCTTACAATTATATACATTGCCGCCTCCGCAGATTTTGTCGCATTTCTCTTCGCCGTTTTCGATTCTGTACTGTTGGACTTTGGCAAGATGTTCTGGCCTTGACTTGGTTCACGTTTTTTATTTTGCTATTTGGCCAGAGCCCAAACGATTTATGTGCGATCCAGTCGCCGAAAAGAAGGGGAAGAACAGAAAGGCAATGAGCTCTCGGCTAGAATCAATGGTACAAACGTAGCTACCTCTTTATATTCTAAGATTTCCTTCTTCCTTACAATAGCACAATTTTGTTATCTCAATAAGAAAATTAAATACTTTTAAATTAAACTTTTGACGCCGCACACTGCATAACCAAATATAATACGAATACTAAAACAACAACCGAAAAACTTACTAAAAATACTATACCGCATAAAAACGATCAAACAAACCAAAATTCGCAGCTTATGAAATGGTCAAAGAACGTATTGGGTCAACGGTTATTTACAGCATTGATGAAGGCGACCTTCTATGGCCATTTTGTCGCCGGCGAGGATCAGGTCAAGATCATACCCACATTGGAAAGGTAATTGCCCACCACGATACTCCCACTCACTTATCGCCTTTTCTTCTTTTTTCCGTTTCTATATTTTCTGCTTTCTGCGTCCCCATGGTTTTGTGTTACTCCATGTTTTTATTTCGCCCGCGATTGGGGCGGTGAAACGGTTATGCGAAACCTGCTTTACGCCCACACTTGTATTGTAACGGAATCCTTGAAAAACAAACACGAACTACTCACCCGATCACCGTCGATATCCCACCGATAACGCCGATTATGCCGATAAACAGCTGTTGAAACTGGCGCGCAACCTGCTCGGCCAAAGGCTCTTCGTCCTGCTGATGAAGTCCAGCTTCTATGGACACTTTGTGGCCGGCGAGAATCGGCACACGATTGTGCCCGCCCTAGAGAGGTTAACCTCGTCCTCCCCTCAGCACCCCTGCATTCCTATGCACTCGATACACATACAGCTTTCGTCAAAAACAGTCACTCGGAGCTCGGTTTTCATATATGTATGCGAAATTATTTTTTACTTTCAATCTCAAGAGAGCACTTCAAAGACCTGTCCTTCAAATGCAATCAAATTTAGGTGAAAACAATTGATTTTACTTTAAATTAACCTTTTTAGTACACCAAAGTATTCAACGATTCGAGAAAGATGCAATTTAGTGATTTAGTCAGACTTAATAGAGTGTTACTAAGGGCTGTTATGTTGACCAAACTCCTGTATGTGTATCACGATAATAATTCACGCACTCATATTGCTACTAACGGTGTTAAGTCGTGTACTAGCACTGAAATAAACTCGATTATAAGAGTCATCCCGATCCGATGGCATGCGACTCGCATGAAAGATATTCCTGAGCAAATACTCCCGAAACCCGAATCTAAGCTCGCTCTCCTTTTAACACAAACAACCCGAATATTCATAGAATAAGTTTTCCCAACAAACCGCTAACCAAATCATACGCAAAATTCTTTTAATTTGCTAATACTTTGTGTTTGACATTACTTCTTAAAGCGTGAGCTAATAAATGCCAACTTTTGCAGACTAAGGTCATTCGGCGTCAAGCCGATCCTTGACTATTCCGTCGAGGAGGATATCACCCAGGAAGAGGCTGAGAAACGCGAAGTTGAGTAAGTTCTTGCTACTTCTTTGAATATTAAGCGTCCACTGATAAGAAGTGGATGATTAGGGAATGTGTCTTAAACACTTTGTGTCCCTCTTTCACCTTCCAGGTCTTCCGTTTCAAGTGCAGGCGACAGAAAAGAGGAGGGCAGCATGCCGCAGTACCATGTGGACAAGTCCTTCGCCGATCGGCGCTACAAGGTGAGCAGTGCCCGCACCTACTTCTACCTGAACGAGGCCACCTGTGAGCGGAACATGGAGATCTTCATCAAGTGTCTGGAGGCCGTTTCGGGTATGTCCTTGGCCAGTGGTGACTCCCTTTCGACCCTTTCCCTTGTTGTCGTCCGGCATGCAAGTTCACAAGGTTTCAGCTCACGATCACCGATTTTCATTCCATCCAATGTCGCAATGTCGCCCTCTAGATGTGCACAGCAAGAGCATCCATTTCTAAATTTTTACCATGTAGATTCCTTATTTTTTATTTTGATCTGTTTTTTTGTTTTAAAAGTTATATAATACATCGAGTTTTACCGAAGCAATACACCTTTTAAGCATAATAGAGTATTTGCATAGACTAGCTAAAATAACAGAAACAATTTTCAACAAAAACACTTTCTATTTTGCCTGCGAATGCGTTAATTTGGAACTCAATATACGAGTATCTCTAAAACAGGAAAATAGGGTTTATGTAGAACAGGTCATTCCCCTGAACATAGTTTTCTTAACCTGCGATAGGCATGCATAGTTGAATGGTTTGAAGGCTCGAGGCTTTTCCTGTCGGGATTTCCCCTCGCCTGTTCCATAGTTCCGCCCCTCCGATCCCTCTCTATTTTGAAGCAACTTAAAGTTGATAAATAATAAACGATTTCTTCTGCCCCGCAAATGATCCCAACATGGCACCACCATCCCATCGATTATCGAATATCCCACAAATTCAAAAATCCCAAAACCCAACCGAAACATTCGTTGCAAAATCCAAAATGAAAAGATGACGATCGCAAGTCGCCCCGGGCAGTGGCCACGGGTAAGCCGAGAATTTAAACAACACACACCCCAAAAGCACCAACAAGTAACTCCGAAAACTTTCCAACAAGTATCCAAAATAGCCAAAACAGTAAACCATTGATGGCCAAGTCAGAGTTTCGACAGAGCAAAGCAAACGAGTTCGACTTTTTGGCCATTTCGTGTGCGTTTTTAGCAGATTTGATGTAATGTGTGTGGCTAACCGTAGCCGTTGTCGTAGCGTATCTGTATCTGTATATGTATCTGTATCTTTATCTGTATCCGTATCTGTACGCCGTAGTTAGCGATATATGTGTCGTACCCATAGAACCCGCTTCCCGATCTTCGCCTCTGCCACCGCACCGCATTCACCGATTGCTCTGCTCTTTTTCCAATGCTTTTCATTTTCAACAACCAACCAACATCCAACACCAATTGATCGGACTGTTGACCTGCAGGCGCCACCTTCGGAACCGGCATTACCGCCATTAAACTCACCGCCCTGGGCCGTCCACAATTACTGGTAAGTTCTCCCCAAGAGTCCTTGGGAGTTAAGTGGCTTACTTTGTCCAGGGAACTGGGGTTAGTAGACGTTATAAAATGGCAAATGAAATCCAGCTAATTGGCGTTAATGAACGGATAGCTACTCCCTCTTGAATGCTTAGTTTGCCAATACGAACAAAACGTATCTTGTGAATTGCCTTAAAGTCCAGTCCTAGCAAAAGTAAGCACATTTATTTTGAGAAACATTCCCAAAAAGGGTAATTTTTAAACATGCTTTCATCAAAATTTGATGCTACTATTTTAATTTTAATCAGTAAAAGTTTGAATGCATCTAAAAACAATAATAGCTATGTGCAAGGATTACCTCTTATAACTGCTCTCCTCCGTTCCCCTCAGCTTCAACTTTCCGAGGTGATCATGCGCACCCGCAAATACATGGAGGACATGGTGGGCGGTCAGGGCAATGTGCTGACCCACCACAAGACCATCAAGGATCTCGAGAAGTATTATTCCTCGCTGGGCGACAATAAGGACGTGAAGGAGTTCCTGAACAATGTTACGTCCGACAAGGAGGGGTAAGTCCTGCCCACCGGCAACCGGCAACCCGGCTCATTCCGAACTCATTCCGAATGTTACCGACCTCACTTAGGATCCTGCATCTGTTCCCCTGGTCCGGCATCGTGGACGAAGACTCGCAGCTGAGCGACACGTTCCGCGTTCCCGACCCCCAGACCGGCCAGATGCGTCGACTGATCTCACAAATACCGCCCAAGGAGGAGGAGATGTTCAGGAACATGATCCGTCGCCTCAACACGATTGTGAAGGTGAGCCAATCTAGTGAATCTGGAAAGTCTGGTGAATCTTACCGCTTCCCTTCACCACAGGCTGCTGCCGATCTGGATGTGCGCATCATGGTGGACGCTGAGCAGACCTATTTCCAGCCGGCCATATCGCGCATCACCCTCGAGATGATGCGCAAGTACAACAAGGACAAGGCCATTGTCTTCAACACGTACCAGTGCTACCTGCGCGAGACGTTCCGTGAGGTGAACACCGATCTGGAGCAGGCCAAGCGCCAGAACTTCTACTTCGGCGCCAAGCTGGTGCGCGGTGCCTACATGGACCAGGAGCGGGACCGCGCCAAGTCGCTGGGCTACCCGGACCCGGTCAATCCCACGTTCGAGGCCACCACAGACATGTACCACAGGACGCTCTCCGAGTGCTTGCGACGCATCAAGGTGGGCTGATATCTGATATTCCGTCCATCAATGGTTGTAATAAATGTGCGTTCGCGCGGTAATTGCAGCTGATGAAGGACTCTAATGAGGATGCCAGGAAGATTGGCATTATGGTGGCCTCGCACAACGAGGACACCGTGCGCTTCGCCATTCAGCAGATGAAGGAAATCGGCATTTCGCCGGAGGACAAGGTGATCTGCTTCGGCCAGCTCTTGGGCATGTGCGACTACATCACCTTCCCGCTGGGTTAGTGTCGGCACCACAAACTTCATGCCTTCGCCTTCTCCTTCTCTGTATTGACATTGTTTTATCCGCCCAACTGCAGGTCAGGCGGGCTACTCCGCGTACAAGTACATCCCGTACGGACCCGTCGAGGAGGTGCTGCCCTACTTGTCGCGACGCGCCCAGGAGAACAAGGGTGTGCTCAAGAAGATCCAGAAGGAAAAGCGGCTGTTGCTCTCCGAGATTCGGCGTCGCCTTATGCGCGGCCAGCTGTTTTACAAGCCCAAGGGCAACTACGTGCCCATCTAAGCTGGCCTGGATGGATGGAACCACTCACTCACCCACACATACACACACACACACACGCCCGAGACGGGAATTCGGCTGCCAACCTTATCCGACCTAGGATATCACCAGAAAGTCGATCGCTTCGGGCCTATTTTAATGTTTTTTTTTTGTCGTTTTTATTACTCTTACGAAATTTGCGTACATCTGAAGTATATATATAAAGACTTGTGTATATACCAAGGTCCTGCAAGGGAACAATGGTGTTCTTACTCCCTATGGCCCTTGCAGATCTGCAGGATCTTCGCTCACAAGCAACTTCAATTAGAGACGGCAGCACTGAGCGGTGGTCATTTTTTGATGAAAATATGTACATTTTTACGTCTTGTTGCAACAATTATCTAAACGAGTTCTGAATGTGTGTTACATAAAAAACAAAAAACAAAAAAACCTAAACTTGAAAACACGTGGAGGAAGTAAACGAATGTGGAAACACACATTGAGGATATTGATGAAAAAGGGGATTGAATTGAAGCTAACATTTTTTAGCATCGTAACAAAAAGAGCATAAATCGATATACATAGTATATACATATTATATACAGTGTAACGAGAGCAAAATGTTTATAGAACTATGTACCGATCTATATCTGCATAGAAACATGTATGTGTATGGCTGCATTTTAGTCTAGGTTCATTAATTTGTGCCTGTTCCTCAGTATCAGTATAATAGTCATCCATTCTTCATTTGCGATGTGATTTCTTGTTGGTTTCTCCCTAAGTTACGACCATAAACTATATATTTATATAGATCAATAGCGAGAGAGAGCGTCCATGATAATTGTTCCTTCAGCTAGTGGCCCTCCCATCCGAAATAGTCAAATACTACTGTCCATAGGAACCATGGATAACCGCTCACACCTATACCTAAACCTAGCCAGTTTTATTACGATTATGCTAAATTAACTTAAATCTATATGTTTAATTTAGCAATTAACGAAGCGATATTATAGAAGTCATTACTACGATAGTCGGTGAATTAGACATCGCAACCGAAACCGCCTTCTTTCCCTGTTTTTTGTTTCCATATCCGCTTCCCCGTTTCGATTGCTCAGACAACTACATACTATATAGACAGACAGACTTGACCATATACTAAGGCACGCAGATTGAACCGAATAGTTTTCTATTATTATCCTCATGATTATTATTATTGTATTGCATAAACGCTATAAATAACTGAATAAATAATTGTATGAATGTTAACTATTTCAATGACAATAATAAAATGTTAAAAACGAATGCCTCTTAAATTCACCTACATGACTGCAGTCCGCTTGGGAAATTTCCCAAATCACCGCTAATGGTGATCTATTGCTCCCCGGATTTCGGTTATGATGAGCTCAAACGGTCTCCAGCTGTTGGACAATCATCGCTGTGATTTGCAACGATCTACTGGTAATTTGAGTAATGTGACTCGCACATTTGTTTGCCGCCTGCTGTTCAATTAGAAAGGGTAGGAATGATTGTTGCCCTCCCAGTCTCCCTGGCACATCCACAATATGCTCTTCGCCGCTTGTTAGCAGGCGATAATAACTTGCACTGTGTCTACAAAGTACACAGACAATTAATAGGGTATTTTATTTACAAGTCATTTAAATAAATTAGAAAAGCTAAAGTGGGACAAGCCGAAGTAACTGCAAAAAGAATTTTTCAAAAATAATTTTTCTCTTAAATTGTATAATTTTTTCAAAATGTTTAGAAATACGCATTTAAGCCATATTTTTCTCTTTTCCATACAAATTTTTTCCGACATTGTCACCTTCGAAAAATCATAAAAAATAAAAGAAAAATTATTTTTGAAAAATTCTTTTTGCAGTTACTATTACTTTTGTTTAAAGAAACTTTTTGCATCCAAAAATTTTAGTTTTCAAGACGACGGAAAAAGTCTAAAAGTAGATTTTTTTAAATTGCCCTTTTCAATAAATATCGAATGAGTTAAGAAAAGTATTGTATCATTCAAACGGCATTTAAATTACCTTTCCACTGATACCAAAAGTTAAAAGAAGCAAGTTCAAGTTTCGAGTATATTTCACTTTTATTTTGTCAAAATATTTTTGACCACCCTTTTATATGATAACGTTGTCGGATTTTAGTGAAATTTTTTCTTTTTGTCCATTATTAATATATATTTTTCGATCTTTCCTATGGCAGCTATATAAAAGAGTTATCAGATTTTGATAAAATTTTACCGAAATTCAATAGTAGTTAGAAAACGCCATCTGAAACAAAATCAAGTCGATCTGATTGAAAAAAACGACGTGAGAATTTTTTTTTTCATTCTCTCGTATGGGAGTTATCCGATATAGTCGGCCGATCCAGCCCGTTCCGACTTATATACTGCGAGCAATAACTACACACCTTTTGGGAAAGTTTCAGCAAGATAGCTTTGATACTGAGGGACTAGTTTACATAGAGGACAGACGGACAGACGTACAGCCGTATTTCGATTCAGAACGTGATGCTGATCAAGGATATATATACCTTATGGGGTCTGATGTGACTCCTTTGAAATCTTCTGACTACAAATTATAATACCCCCTGCAAGGGTATAAAAAATAAGCTTATTAAATGTTTTAAGCTGTTTTTATATCTCCGTTAAACTACAAACAGACAATCAGATTTTCCTTAATTTAAGCGATCCATATTTACTTACAGATAAAAGTGACTACAAATTACTATTTTGACCCGGAGGCAGTTGCTTGTCTACAACGCCTTTTTTTTCCGACGGTAAGATTGTCGTCTTGAGCCGAAGTCCACTTGGCTGACCATCAGCGGATCGTTGCTCTGTCGTTCAAAGGCAGCCTTGGCAGCTGATTGACGCGGCTGTTTGGATACCGAAGCTCCAGCGGATGACAGGGATGTGGAGCCAACAACTCGCTTCAGGGCCTTGGGCACTATGTACTCGGGCATATCGGACAGGTGGCTCTGAACTTTGATGGCGCGCAGTGGCTTGTCGTGTCGCAGCGCCTGCAAATCGCGCTTGTTCTCCTCAAAGAATCCTTTCAGCTTCTCGCAGTTCAGGATCTCCGTCTTTATCTCTCGGATGCGAGTATCGTGAACGGCAACACGCGTAGCGGCTCGCCAGCAATCCTGGGCACGGTAACGAAAGGACTCCACCTCCTCCATCTTAAACTGATAGTTCCTGAAAAAGATTCGTGGTCAAAACACAATTTTTCAATAAGGGTGTTGGTCTTACTTGATGATTTGTTCGCCTTTCTGGGCGGCGAAGCTTTGGCACAGCTTCGTCTCCACGGCATCGTTGACCTTAGCCTCCTTCATGCTCACAAAGGACAGAACGGAGCCCTTGTTGTTCCCTCTGGCCGTCCTGCCAGCACGATGAATATAGGACGTCACGTCCCTGGGGAAGTCAAAGTTGATCACGTTGTTTACGCACTGGAAATCAATTCCCCGCGAGGCACTTGACTCCATATCGCCGCTGCGCGACGACTTTCGACTGCCGGCCGGTTTGCCGCCCGGCTGTTCCAGGTGATGTTCGTCGGAGGCAATGATAATGTCGTAGGTGCCCTTGTTAAACTGGCTGATTGTGTGAATGCGAATGTTGGCCGGCAGCTCAGAGTTCAAGACGCAGGCGCGGATGCCGAATTGCTCCAGAAATAAGCGAACCCTGAAAAAGAGAATTAGGTAAAGATGAGAATCCTATGTGTAGCAATGTTAGCATCAGCGGGCCACAGTCTTTGCTATCAGCGAGAAGATTAGTTGATGGTCATGCGTAGGCCAACTGTTGCCAGCTGCCCACTCCTTCAGGTTTGTTCATCATTGCCTTTAGCAGACTTTAAAATGGGATTGTCTGCATCTACTCACTTGTAACAACGATCGATGCTATTTACAAAGATGATGCTCTTGCCGCGTATAAGCCTCAGCTTAAGCAAAGCGTACAATATGGCCGGCTTGTCGTTCTCCTCAGCCAGAATGCGCTGGTGCGTTAACTGGTCCTGCGGGACCAGCTCCGGCTCCTCAAGCTTTAGCGTCACCGGATTGTTTAGGCACAGGCCCTTCATGCGCACCACGTCGTCGGTAAGAGTAGCGGAGACCAAGACGGCCTGGTAAATCGGAGGCAGGTGCTTGAGCAGCCGCTTGAAATCCTTCTCGTAGCCAAAAGCAAACACCAGATCCGCCTCGTCCACCACCAGCGTCTCCACATGTTTCAAGTCCACCACTCCGCCGGCCTCGGCGTGGGCCAGAAGCTTGGCCGGAGTGGCCACCACGATATCGGGTCTTTCCGCCAGGGCATGCCGCTGGGTCGCCGCGTCACTGGAGCTGCCGGCGATGTCCGCCACGCGGACCACCTTCCCGCAGGATTCGACCAGCTGCTCGATCACTGACCGCGATTGCCGGCAGAGCTCCTTTGTGGGCGCCAGGACCACAGCGCTCACGCACTGCTCGCTGGCGTTCAGCTTCGAGTTGAGGATCTTTTGGATGAGTGGCAGAGCGTAGGTAGCCGTCTTGCCGGACCCAGTGCGAGCACGCACCACCACGTCCTTGCCCTCCAGAAGCAGCGGGATTGCAGTGGACTGGATAAGCGTGGGCTGCTGCCAACCCAGCTGAGCGACCGCCTGAAAAGCGAATAAGTTGACATTATAACAACAGGTCAGTGGGAGTAGAAGGGTAATATACCTTAAGGATGCGCTGGTCCAGCTCCATCTGGTGGAATTGCACCGATTTCTGTGTCTTCTGGCTCATGATGGGGGGCGGGGAGAAAATTTTTGGGAAAGTGCGCACAACACGTTTCCGTGCCCAACAACAAAAAGAACGGCGCAAATGTAGGAAACGATGAAGAGCGGCAGCATCGGTCTATCGATAGCAAAGCAATCAGATGGCGGGTGTAAAACACACAAACAGTGTTGCCAACTCTTCTGGTCATAAAAAAGCTAAATTAAGCTAAATTAACCTAAAGCGATATGGTTTGTGTGACACAAACCATATCGCAATGGTTAATTTAAAATACTTGCCTTGTTTCAAAAGTAATTCACCTTCCTTTCGTGCTTTAAAATTTTTTAAAATCCACACAGCTCAATGGTGGTATAACCATATTAATCATTTGTTATAAACCGTTTTATAAAGCACTTTCAACATTAAAAATAATATTGTTACAATAATAATTTCAAATAACATAAAGGCTAATATTAATTTAAAAAACATAAGAAAATTTTTAACTATAATCTCAGAGTAGTAATAGATTTTTAGATTTTTAGGGCACTGTTTATAACCGAACTATCGATAAATTCGTGCTCATCGGTTCGCTTTACAACACTGCTGAGAACAGCACGTGCAGTTTTTTTTTTCTCCGGAAATTTTAAATATTTAGGCGTTCCATGGAGAAAATTTACGAGAATAATATTGGCCAGCAGCCGGAGGTGCTCCGACGCCAGTTCCTGGAGAAGACAAAGGGCGTTCAACTTAAATCAGGCCAAGCGGCTCGCAAATGTTGCGGCGATGCGTTCCTGAACTTCGACGTCCAGGCCCACGACGCCTGGTTCCTGCAGTGTCCCAAGGGAATGGATCCCCACGAACTCGCTGGCAAGCGAATCAAGCTCCCCGGTAGAAAGTACATCGACGACCTGCAGGTGCGTGCGTTAAATTACTCGACATCACGCAGTAAAACTCTGGGCTACGTAACCTCCAAGGGGAAGTATGCGCTCCGAAAACTTCCACTCGCAGGCTACATTGTGGTCAGCAGGCGTCTAAACGCAAAGCAGACACCGGCTGGTGCTAAAGAGCATGTCTTACCCCTTCATCCTGCGCCGCCTAGGCCGATGTGCCGCATCCGTCATCCCTTGTTCGGGCATGGTTATCAGAGACGTATTCAATTGCCCGAGAAGATTACCAGAAGTCTGAGAGAGGCAGGCGAGCAACTCTTACAAACGAAGGCCAGGCTGGCGCAAACTGACAACTACTACATGATGCGCAGAAAACTGCATGCCACAAGTCAGACTCTGGAAGAGAAGGAGCGCGATGTGCGGGACTCGGTACTTACTGGCCAATTGCCGCATTTTATGAAATTCAAAGACTTCTCAGCTCGAGTCGAGCCTAACGACGAAACCCAGAGTTCCCGAAACAGTGGGCTTATACATCTAAACGGGTATGAAGCGGTGGAAATCAAGGAGGAAGTCCAAGAGGAGGAGACCATTGTTATCCAAAAGAAGAAGAAGACCAAATTAAAAGACCGAAATCTTTATACAGATGTGGAAGAAGTAGTGCAAGTTAAGGAGGAAGTTGATGAGGACAGTATCGTCGTCACCAATAAGAAAAAGAAGAATAAAAAAGGTGATCAATCTTTTAAATATGGAGCCGCAAACGATCTGGAAGGAGTGAAAATCAAAGAAGAGGTCGAGGAAGCGGAGATAAATTATCAACCTCTTGAAGAAGGGGTAGCCAGAGATCTGGAAGGCGTGAAAGTCAAGGAGGAAGTCATCAGCCCCAAGAAGGAAAAGAAGCACAAATCGAATGGCGAAATCTCTGCAAATGTCCATGAGGAGTCCAAATCCGCCAAGAAGCAAAGGAAGCGGGAGATCAACGGTGAGGTCGGTGTTATTAACGGCGACATGGTAGTGATAAAGGAGGAAGAGGACGCGGAGGCCCCGCCGCAAAAGCGTAAGAAGCTGAAAGCAGTCGAATAGGCTGGCGATGGACTACTCCACTTTAGTTTCTAGTTGTTATTCAGGTTAATTTACTTTATATATTCAAAGGAGATATATAATTCATTTTTCCCTGTTTATGAAAAAAATGATTTGTTTGACCACAATCTGTAAATATAAATAAAGTATAAGTACTCAAAAGGTAAAGCTATTTCTCTTTTAATTTAGAAACTAAAAATTGATATTACCACATTAAAAAATAAATTGGGGATTTCAAACACGAATTAAATTTTGAATTTTAACGGCTTGTGTAGCCTTTGAGATTTGTGTTCGTTTGTGATCAGAGTTGCCGTTACCAACGCGATTCACTCAGTCATTCTGGCGAATCCAAATTCGACCTCTTTGGGTTCAATTGACAACCCTTTGAGAAACACACACGCAATGTTTACCACAGCGAAACGTGAATTTTGATTGAAGTGTTCAGCAATTGCCGATTTAAAATTGAAAAGTGTCCCGCACTGGGTATAAATTAGCGAGGATGTCGGCGCTCAAGGCGTTCCTAAAGGAGGGCTTCAATGTGGCGGCGATAATGGGTCTGGGCGACACGGTAGCGCAGCTGTTCATCGAAAAAAAGTCTCTAGACGACTGGGATGCCGGACGCACTCTGCGATTTAGCGCCCTCGGCCTGGTGTTCGTAGGTCCTGTCCTCCGGCGATGGTACCACTTCCTTGAGTCCCGCGTGCCCAAAAACCAAACGCCGATGCGCCGCGGACTCACCAAGATGCTGGTCGACCAGCTCCTCTTTTCGCCGCCCTTCACCCTAACCATGTCCTTCTTGGTGCCGATGGTCAACGGCGAGCACATCGACCGGATCCGGAAGCGCATCTTCGACAGCTACCCCACCATCATGGCTCGAAACTACATGCTCTGGCCCGCTGCCCAGGTGATCAACTTTACCTTCGTGCCGCTCAGGTACCAGGTCGTCTATGCCCAGTGCATCGCCCTCATCTGGAACTGCTACCTCTCCCTGGTGCTCAACGGATAGGCCACTCCCTGTCGTCTTCCCCTTTCACAAACGTTGGTGCATACGTACATACATACATACATCGAATAAATTAACTTTGTTAGCTTTACACGTGATTTTGCCTTTGTTTTGGTTACTCTTCGTAGGGGGTATTCGGAGTTTCGTACATGGTGTGCATGGAAGGTTATGCGATTATGGAAAAGGTGTCAATGATTGGTGGCAACACAATAATTATACATTTTTTAATGAATACTTCAAGACTTGGCCTCCGAATCCCTGGAATTACAATTTGCAAAAAACATCAACGAAGCGTAGCAGTGGAACTCGGTCAAATTAGTTTACTTTTAGAAAAAAATATTAAAAAATGTTACCCTTGCGGTTAGAGAACGACTAGACTTATCACAATTCTATAGTAACAATATGTTTTCTAATTTTTTTATTGTTAGTTTTATTTTAGAAGGTATGCTGTTATATGTATTTTATAAGACTTCTCTGGCTTGAACGAAATAAATAATTTCTTTATTTTTATGACAGCTGTATGATATAGCAGTTTGATCTTTATAAACATTACTTTTTAATATTTATTTTCGTTATAAATTAAGTGTCAGGCAAAATGCATGAAAGTTTACCAAAAACGAGCTATGACGATTTAAAATTTTTTTTTGTAATTTTTTCGATTTTTCCTATGACAGCTTATATCAAACAGCTGCCGGTTTTCATGAAATGTTATTCAAAAAAAGCGTCGAAGAAAACAGTAAGTTTTAAAGATCATGATTGTATGATCAAAAACAACGATGAAATTACATACATATTTTGTTTCATAAATTTTTACATCTTTTCTATGAAAACTAAATGATAGATTTTTTTAAATTTTATTCTTAATTCAATCGTTGTTAAAAAACATATTAGACCTCAGAAAGTATATAAGGCTATCCTGTTGAAATTTTACCAAAGGTTTTTTAGTTATTGTAAGATTTCGAGTATTAAGTTTCTTAACGATACTTAAATTGTGAAATTAATTGTGTCAAAATTAAAAAGGCTATGCCATGTACAGAGCTGTCAAAGGAATATTCGTTGAAATTATAAAAAAATACTTTTAAAATCTTTATATCTTTGATGTACATATGTAGCTAGGCATCCGTTTTGCTCGATGCTTAGCAGTTTGTTACGATATAAATATTTAAAGTTATTTGTGCCATAGAGTTGAGAAAATTAATAAAAAATTGGTTGAAACTAGAGAAGTTCTATAGTGCACTTTATTGCTGACGTTGTAAGGATCGAAATAACTATAGAAAAACTCTTGTTACTATAGATTTGTGATAAGTCTAGTCTACAACTAAGTTCTAACTGGAATGTTATTGCTTTTTTTCTAGTTTCCTAAATGATAAATGATAAAAGATCCCAAATGATAAAGGATCCCGTACTTTTTTTTACAGGTGCAGCTAATGTTTCTACCAGCCCGGGGCTCCAACCAATGTTTTTCTGGGTAGAAGAACAAGTTGTGGTCGGTGATGCCAGAAGGGGAAAATGGGATTCTCAGCGGGGTGTTAGACTAACACTTTTAGTGCTTCGAGAGCATTTGTGAAATTGCGGGCTGCTATGAACCATACACGTGAGATTCTCACCTTTCAGTTTGGGACGTACGCGAACTACGTGGGCGCCCACTTCTGGAACCAGCAGGTAAGTAGGCCCACTTTCAAACGCGGATTAAAACGAAACCGTTCTTCCAGGAGGCCAACTTCAAATACGGTGACGAAAGCGACCAGGTGGCCGAGGAGCAGCTCCCTAACAATGACATTCTGTACCGCGAGGGGCTGAATGCCCTCAACCGCACCACCTACACGCCGCGCCTGCTGTCCGTGGACCTGGTAGGAACCCTAGGCCACATTCCAGTCAGCGGCGAACTTTATGGCAACTTTGTGCAGCGGGACCACGAGCTGCTGCCCCTGGGCACCGGCGAGGAGCTGGAGCAGGCTCGCCAGCGGGTGGAGGAGGGCTCGGACTACGCCTCTCAGCAGCTGGAAGTGAAGGAGCAGCCTAAGGCCGCCATTTCCGAGTACCAGCGGGATCTGCTGAAGCAATCCGTGTCTCCCGGCAAGGACTACCGGCTGGCGGAGACAGCAAACAGCTGGGCGGACTTCTTGTACGCCAGGTATCATCCGCGTACCATGAACGTCCTGCCGGGATTGGTCAGGGATCCGAGTGTCCAGGCGCTGGGCACGTACTCCGCCGGTTCGGAGCTGTGGCAGGGTGTCGACTTCAACGACGAGTTCTGCGACCGCATCCGTCTCTATGTTGAGGAGTGCGACGGCCTGCAGGGCTTTCACGTGCTTTTCGACATTGACGACGGCTTCGGCGGTCTGGCCGGGAAGTGTCTGGAGCACCTGAACGACGAGTACAGTCGGACGAGCTTCGCACTGCCCCTGCACTATCCCCGGGCCACTAGTTATGCCCAAGCAGGTGAGTACGACGCGTTTAGTACGAGGCGCCTAGAGACCACTGCTTCCTCTTCCCCTCCTCCCCTAGATCCTCGCCTGGCGCACGGCATCCGGGTGGTGAACAGCGTGCTGAGCTACCACCACCTCAGCGAGCAGGCGACCATGTTCACGCCACTATCGACGCTGGAGAGCATCTGGCGAAACAGCAACCTGAAGTCCCGCAGCCTGCCGGGAGTGCAGTGGCAGGCGGATAATCTCTACCAGACGTCGGCCCTGCTGGCAGCCTTCTTGGACACGGCCACCTTGGGCTACCGGCTGCGGCACACGCCAGAGTCCCTGCTTCGTTTCTGCGACCGCGTCACTCCTGCGGATCGGAAGATGACGGCCGCAGGACTGGCGCTGCCACTCGGACTGGGGCAGGGTCAGGATCTGATAGAGTTCCTGGACCAAAGCGGCGACCGTGCGCTGCTCACGCAACTCACGCCGGGCTGCGAACCAGGCACCGCCTATGTGGTGCAGTCGGTGACGGCGCGGGGCATTCCCGCAGAGCGCTTGAAGCGCCCCAGGGAGCAGGCCGGAAAGCAGCTGCGGATGGCTGCGTACGGCTGCGACAGCGTCTCGCACATGCTGCAACTGTACTACCAGTGCAGCTATCACGGCAGTGTCACCAACGCGGCGGCCAGTCCTCTGCCGCTGCGGACGCAGCTGCCCTTTCCCTACGAGATGTTCGGCGGCGGCATCTCCGGCGATGGCTTCCACTTGCCGGCGCAGGCGGAACGCGTGCCGGGCTCTCGAGTGGATTCCGCACCTATGCTGGCCGCCTTGCAGAACTCCACCAAGCTGGGCGAGCACCTGGACCATCTGCACGCCCAGACACACCGCGTTCAGCTGGCCAAGTTGCAGGCGTACTCCACTAGCGGCTTGGAGCGGGATGAGTACGACGCGGCGCTGGACCACCTGCTCGAGTTCCATGATCACTACGCGGACTCGCAGTATCTGTAGGATGTGGGAGGTCACCGCTCTATGAGAGGGAGAATTTGTGATAAGCCCTAGGATAGTACTCACGATAAACGCTCGCGTTCATTTGAATACCAAGAAAATCGCAACTATTATAATGTTTTACTCTGCAATTAAATTAGATGCTTGTTTGTACAAATAAGAATCTGGCGTTGTGTTTCAAATCTAATTCACGACCACAATTTTGAAGTCTTAAAAACCGCAAACTTATATACATTAATTAATTATTTATTTTTAATAATTTACAGTATTTAAATGCACTAACAGTTGATTGTTTTTTGAGACCATACACCCATAATTTGCATTTGTCTGAATAAAAACAAACAAATTAAAAAAAACTCCACTGGAGGGACAAATCCTTGTGTTGCTAAGCTCATGGAAACACTGCCTTGTCTTCTGAGGTGTCAGGTTGGTTGGGTTTTCCCCGGAGCGGAAGTTGTCGGCCCCACCTGCTGCTCTCCGTGATTGGCAGCCTCGGAAGCGGCTTTGATATTTTCCGCGTTTCCAGGAAGGCGATGAAAAGCCAAAACAAAACAAAAAGTTTTTGTCTAGGCAGAGGGGTTTAAAGAGTCGTCAATGGATTTCCTAACAACGACGATGACGACATGGACGTGCCAGAAAAATCTTTGAATTTTTATTTGCATGGCAATCAATTTTTATTGTTGCTACCATTGAGAATGCCATGGGTATATTGATTCTTTGGAAAGCCTCTAAACTAAATTTGAGCCTTCTATTAAAAATTATATTATATATTAGAAATTAAACCGATGCCATTATTTGAATACATAGGTCACCAAAAATAATTGGGTACTTAGACATTTAATGCGCGTGCCTCGGAATTTTATTTGAAGTTATTGGATACATAGAGTGCAATGCAGTTTAATATAAGCATATTTTTGTAATATAATAATATATGAATTTTAATATTTTTTTGTAATTATCAAATTATTTGTACATGTATTAAATACTGTAGAACTTATAAAAAAGAATATTTTGCAATGGGTTTTAAAGGTTAAGGTTAGTTTAAATACATTTATTTCACATTAATTGTTTATATAAATCGTGATTAGAAATCACTGGGTATCCATGTGTCGCCACTCGTGGAATACTTCCTTTTGTCTTATTTACTGTTCTCTCCGCTGACCCAAAGGACCTCTTCTGGCCGACTTCACCTTTCCGCGACGACTACGTGCGGCTCCTTGCCGCTTTCCGTAACCTTAACCTTAACCTTAACCCTTAACCCTTGCGATTGCGTTTGCGTCTGTGTTTGCGGATCGGGAGTGGGGCCCGCCTAATTTATACGGAAATTTATTGCCAATAAAGCGGCAGTAATTGAAATCTCAACGGGAGTAAATCACAATTTTATGGACTGCTAACGGGCGGCGCTAGGTGGGTTCGGACTTGACTTGGAGCTGGGGCTGGGGCTTAATAATTTGGGTGAGTGTTTTTTATTTTCCGGTCAAGTTTTCGGCAGCACCCCCTGCGCATCCACATTGTTGTGCAAATTAAATTTCAATTTGATTGGCACAGTGCCTTTAATATTGTAGCCTCTTCCTATCCCAGGTCCTTAAAGCAGCTGCTGCTTGCAAGGTCCAGGTTCCAGGTTCTGCTAGTCCTCCCGGGGAAAAAGGACGAAATCCGAAATTAAAATTACGCCAACGACTTTAATGGAATATGTGCGTGGAATTTGAAATGCCAAATTGAATCGCCTGCCAAGCTAGTGGAGTATATATTTCGTATATTGTTTTTTGCAGCTTTTAATTTCGGTTTCATTTTCGTTTCAGTCTGCAACTGGATTGGGATTGGGATTTGGACCAAGCCTGCATTAGCATGCAGTCCTGCCACCGGACATCCTTCCTCCTACTCGACCTTCCAAAATTGTGTTTGACAAACAAGGATTGAAAGCGTTCCAGTTTAACATGAATTTCCACAATACTTTCAATTTAAAATTAAAACGGCCCCTTTGAAATGGATTTTTAAATATCACATGCAGTAAGTAAAGGGAGGCAAAGTAGTTGAATTTCGTAGACCAAATTTGCACAGCTCTAATTTAAAATACAAGAAGAGTTAACGTTCTTACTGCGAACATGGCACACTTAAAAAAATCAACCGATGACTGCATTTTGATCGGAACAGATACAAATACAGCAACATTTTTTATTACTTCATTTACTTATGAACGAGCATAAATAAAAATAAATTCTGAAAAATAGTAACAGTCAAAAAGCCATTTGCAAATTGTGACTTCAGAGATACAAAACCAAGAGAGATATTCGATACATACATATGTGAAGAGGATGGTTTTAATGCTTTCCGAGTGGTGCGTTTATTAAATGATTAAGGTGGATAAAATATGGTACATTTTACTTATGCGTCTTTTCCTGTGCTTCCTTAGCTTCTCGTTCTTCTGCTTCTTCCTTATGACTTATCGACTATCTTATATCTATAAAAAGTGTTCTTAAATGCTACAAAAATGTGTTGTGAAACGGTTCAATATGAATAGCTGTTCACACATATTTAAATTTGTATCAACCAAATCAGTCGAATATACAAAAGAAATGAAATTTCCTGTGCATCTTGAGCTCCGTTCTCCCTTTATCCCTTCGTTTTCAATTAGTTGCTTCAATTACTCAGTTGGTCAGCTACTTAAGTGCTCGGCTTGTTCGCCCACGCGGCAGTTGATTTTTAATTTCTGCCCGGCTTAGTCCCCGCTCGTAGCCACCATCATCCGCAGACTCCATTCCACTTCACTCCACTCCACTCCACTCCACTTCGCTCCACTCCACTCCACTCCACTCCACTCCGCTCCAGTCGGTCTATATCTGTGGTTCTATCGCCGTCTGGGCACTTCATCATCCAATGGAACCCGTTGGAGGTGGCGGCCGACATTCGGCTCCCTCGGCCAAAACAAACTTAACAAAGTTAGCTAAATTTGGCCGAAGGCGTCATTTTAACTGCCGCTTACTACCACCCACTCATCGGCATCCCCCTCCTTCCCATCGTCCACTTCCCCGCGCCCGCCATGTCCACATTTCAATGCCTTTTTAATCTAGAACAAAAGCAAACTTAATTTGCCACAACATCTGAGATGGCGCAGGCGAAAAGAAGACAGGCAACAGGCCAAAAGGAGGCTAAGGGGCTGTGAACAGGGCCAAAAGGGGGAGGAGGGCAGGATGAACTCGGAAAAACGGGAAGTTACTTTCCGAAGGCATTTACAAATGTTAGCGATTTATTTGCACAATACTCTATAATTGCTCAGTATGACAGAGTGCTTTTATACCCTTGCAGAGCAAAGGGTATTATAATTTCAGTCAGAAGTTTGCAGCGCAGTGAGGGAGACACTATTGAATTTCGGATTAAATTTGATCAAAATCGGATAACTCTATCATATAGCTGCCAAAGAAGAGATCAAAAAATATATATGTATTAAAAACAAGAAATTGTATTTGTGTTCAAATTAGTGTAGTTATACACTATACATACATATATATTATATACAAAAAAATATATATTATATTTGTCTCAGGTTTTTAGTTTTTTTTTTGAGTGCATGCGAAAGGAGAGTAGAACGATTGTGAGGACAATTCCGAGAACGTCACTTGGCACATAATTTGATTACAACAACACTTTGGGGCCACCACCCACACTTTGAAGTCATCCACCTACTGGCCAACCAGCACACCAGCACACCACCACACCACCCCCCACCCCCTCCCTTTGCCACCACTTATCGCTGGGAGTCGAGTGTTGAATGAGCAACAACTTTCGAGTGCAACGCGTCCTGAATTGTAATTAGTGCCCAGGAGCCGCCAGCTGGAGGGGGCATTGGGAAGGGCGGATTGGGGAAGGGTTTTCGGACGGTTCATTTGGAAACGGGGCGAAAAAAGGAGCGGGTCGAGTCGAGGGGCTTCGAGTGCCAGGAGATGGCTTCACTTGATTTATGGAGCGCGCGCATTTGTAATTGTTCCTACGTGTAAACGCTCCGGTCCAAAACAATCCCCTCCAGCCTCCCTTCGCTTCCAGCAGAAAGCATATCCTAGATGCGGCATCCTGACCATAAATTAGTTATCGGCGCTAATTGTTAAACGGATGAAGCGTGATTTGATAAAGACGTAGTTGGTAGTTGGTCTTAATGGCGTAATGGCCCCGCTTGCATCGCCCCACTGACATTGACCCCTTCCCAAATGGATTTAGGTAATTAACCATTTTTGGAAATTTTGCAAAAAATGTCTTCAATTCAGATTGAAACCGCTAAAATGGCTTAACAGTCGGAAGCAGTATTATAAAAGAATTCAATTGAAACATCATTTCTCAGCGAGTTGTGATTTCATTTGTTGTTGGGCCGCTCTAAAACCAATCCAAGTCCCACGGCAATAATATAACTTATATAACTAATACCAACTCTTCATTATTTTCTAATTTCTTCTCTGTCATCTATTTGATATAGAAGTAGTATTCTTAAAGAAACAACAAACAAACTTGCAGAGGGTATACAGATTTAAGTCCGAAGTTTGCAACTGATGAGACACCTCAGACACCATAAAGTACATATGTATATGTATATATTCTTGATCAGCATCACTATCTGAACAGATCTGGACTAACGGACAGACGCGTTTTCCTGTTTCTATGTAGACTAGTTTCTTTGTTTTTCAACACACAAGTTTAATTTTCGGACTATCGAGTTTTTTGACTACGATTTAATGGAGAACAAAATGTAAAAAAATCGGACTATTATATTATACCATATAGCTACCATAGGAAAGATCGAAAAACTATATAAAATTAATGGAACAAAATTAAAACACAGCTCGCCGAATTAAACTTAGTTCATAACAGATCAGACTTCTCCGTTTTGTAAGTTTTTGGGCTTGGTGGCAATAATTTTTAACTAAAAGCGATCAACCGTCTAGCATAAGCAGGAGATTGAGAAGAATAAAATAATAAATAATATAATAAAGTTATTATCAAGCAATAACAATTAATTTATTAATTAATAATAAAAATGACTTTCTCGGGCATATCGGCTGATATATATGCCATTTCTGTTCGAATACCCTCCTTGAGCTCTGATATGGGGACCCGTCCTGTTGAAACCTGAAGTTTTCCAGACCCTTTCGACACTTCGGTCGGTATGCTCGAGAAAGTCATGGAAAATGCTCGAAAAAAGAACACTTTTTGCCATCAAGAACAAAGGTGCCCATTTGGTCGATATAAGGTAATATTTAAAGACTAACTCAAATGAATTGTAAAGGATCAATCTAAATAAACAAAAGACATTTTCCATGCAGCTCGATTGGCGCACCCCGTGTAGGTTGTAACTGCAAGGCTCGCTGAAGTTAGCTTTCTATCTTGTTTTGAAATTTAAATAAAGAGATGAAAGATATACATATGAACTCAAACGGCTTGGGATTTATGCTTCGGCTTACCACTATATGTTTCCTGTTTTATTTTGAATAAAACACCTCATTAAAATGGCGAACAATGGGCAAGTAATGGAGCCAATATAAAAATAAACGCTTTTATATTGCAAGGTTATAGAACAATAAACCAGATTTTTAGTGCTTATTTAAACAACATTAAAGCATATAAATATTTGTGTGAGTTCCATTCTGAAAAACTTAGTTAGGTCAGATAATTGGTCAAGGAACTAAAAGCTTGCATTAGTGGTAAATATAGTATTTAATAAATATTTAGTTTCATCTTGACCCTACTTGAACACAACTCCTTCGCTCATTAAACTAGCTGAGTGTGTGGGAGTTGGCAGAGCCATAATCTTGTTGTCTTATAACTTGTAATGCCTCCTAATCCTGTTGCTGCTCCCCCGCTCATCCTGATAATCTCTTTCGAGGACTTCCCACACTCCCGACTTCTGTTTCCTGCCTTTGATCCTGGCTGCTGTTCTCGTGGGCGAGGGCAGCTGGAAACAAAGTTGAGTCGGAAATTGAACAAATACAATTAAGTTGCGAGCAATTTGGATTGCATCCATGTCGAAGATGAAGATGAGGAGTTAATTCCCAACCAGGTGGGCCGTGGCTTCACTGCAAATGGGGGCCAAATACTCGAGCAGTCGATTGCCTCGCGGATTGGCTTATTGTTCGGAGTTCCATTGTTGTCCAATATTCCTTTCTGAATGCATTCCCAAATCACCTGTGATTAATTCAGCATGGTCAGTGCGTTATGCCAGTGCACCAAATGTGCTTAAAGAATTAAGCTCACGGAAGACCCAAGGTAATAAAATTGCTTTTATCATCGCTGCCACTCGAGCGAAGGACTCATTTAATCCCTATAAGTCTTCATGCATCCTATACAAGGATTAAGTCCCTTTAGCTGACTTGCTGTTTGGTGAAGCATTTTTGCTAAATGCACCTAATTAAATTGTGAATTCTAATTTTATTGCAAATGCTCTTAGTGCTGATGAAATTGCCTAGCCATTAATTTTTTCAGACTTTCGTAAGCACTGCACCGCAAATTGGGTATAACTAATATTGACTGTGTTACCTGTGTCGGCCCTGTAATTTATTATTTGTTATTGTTGTTATTATTTATTTATTATTTCTGCGCAACCCCGTATATGGTAGGAGCAACAGGAAAGATCGAATAATGGTTATACAATTAATGGAAATTGAAATTGAATTCGTTATTCAAGAAACGTTAGAAAACTCTTTATTCCATAAATCATGATTGTCTGATTGAAAACATCGATGTTATCATTTTATTTCCGTTAATTCTATATAGATTTTTCGATCTCGAAAATATGCAAAATTAATAGAAAAATAGTAATAGTTTCGACGTTGTTTAGCCCTTATGCATTTTGATCGACATATTTGATGACTGCAAGCCGAAGCTAGCTTCCTTTCTTTTTTTTTTTATGTGGGCATGTATGGTAAGGTCGTTTACCCAACTTATGAACCTACATACCTCTTTCCTAACAATTACCCAAAATAAGGCAAACCTTACTATCTGGAAAAAAGCTTTCCAAATCTGGATCGGCACTGAGCACCCAGGTTATAATGACTGCCATTTACGAGAACAGTTTCTATAGGAAAACCGCGCCGTTTTACTTTTGCAAATTTAAAATAAAATTTCGCTTCATTAAAAAAATTATGCAAACCATGATTGAAACACATGCACAAACTTGGGATTTAAAAAAAAACACATATGTTATTTTAGTGTGCAC